CTGAGGTGCGGGGGGTAACGGCCGCTGAGGAAGGAGGTTCCGCCTGCTTTCCCCTGCCCCGGCCTCCCTTGGAGCCTCCCCTGGTCCTCTCAGGATGGTCCGCGGGCTGTAGGGTCCGCCCCGGGCCCCTGAGGCCGCGCTCGGAGGGCTCCGGTTCCCCGCAAGCCTGCGGGCTGCGGCTGGCGGTCCCTTCCCGCCCTTGCCGTGGTGAGGAGGAGCGGTGCTCGCAGGGCCTGAGCGGGGTCTGCTCCTTCGGCCGGGAGCCGGACAGCAGCCGTCCCTACTCGCAAGACTTTGTGGTTTGGGCTGCGTGTCAGGAGCGGTTGCGTCTTTGGGATGTGAGAACTGGAAATGAAAAATTACTGCTGGAGGAGGAGGGTCAGAAGCAGCAGTAAGGGTTTGGGGGGATTTATGTGTCTGTGACGGGGGCTCTGAGAGGTGGTTTCACAGTGTATGTGGATTAGAAGGCTGGTCTCTGGATGCTGCTGACAGAGAAGTGTCATGTCCAAGAAATTAATTACACTCAACCCCTGGATCTGGGCTGATAAAAGGCTGAGAATTTAGAATACGGAGATAGCCTAGTGTTAACGATTTTGTGATGTGCAGCAGGCAGACTGTTTTTGTTTGCTGAGTAGCCTATTTTAGTGGTGCATTGATCAATGTACTTCTATTTCAGATTCTGATAATTAGCTCTGTCCTGATGTCTTCAGTGCTCTCTGTGCCTGAAGGAGTAAAAATTGGAGGAAAAAAAACCAGTTTTATGTAAAGGGAGTATTAAGACAAATTTCCTTTCTTCTTCCTCACCTTCCGGCTATGTTGGAAATACCCCACTGCTTTTTCTTTTTCTGTAATTCTGAACATACAATTTAAGAAAGTGAATTCAAATTTGTCGATGGAGAACATCAGTTATTCCAAGAGGAGTGTCACGGTAGCATTGAGGTGTTTTTGTAAAGTTTAGGGGCTGTTCCTGCATGTTCAGTTCCACTGGGTTTTGTGAAGAATGCATTTCTGTATCTTTTTTGTTCCTCAGGTAGCGGCTCGAATCCTTTCCAGCATTTGGAGAAGAGTGCTGTGCTTCAGGAGGTATGAATCATCATAGTATAATACTGTTGGGTTTTTTTTTTTTTCCTTCAGGAAGCATTAGCAGCTTAAGGAAGTTTTACTGTGCAACTCTTGGGAAATGTGAATGGTTAAATTCGTATAGTTAATTTAAAATCACAGGATATGTAAATTAAGTGCAAATCAAATTACTCTGTTGGGTTTATGTGTGGTAATTAGATTAGATGTGGCTTCTGCATTCCATGTGGACATGCAGGATCTCAGTGTGCTCTTTCTGAAGAGGTGGTCTGCCAGTTTTCCTGTGCTGCTTCAACGTACTGCGTAACAGGTTTTCCTGCTTCTTTTTGTGTACTCAGAGAATGATTGCAAGTGGCGAGGTGAACGTGTGGTTAAAAAATGGGGAATTTTGGTAGGTGCAAAGAGCTATAAGTAGGAACTGAGTAATTTCAGTTTTGTGTTCCTACAGACGAGTGCTATGTAGTGTTTGGGCTACAGATGCTACAGAAAGAATTAAGTTGTTACATTTTTATTTTAAAGTATTTTTGCTAGTTCCAGATGGTAAACCAGGTTATTGTCCTTTGTTCAGGTTGCTGCCCGTCCAGCAAACTAAACATGCATGAGCTGAATGACAGGAGTACACTCATTGGGACACATTTTTAGAATGAAAAAAAGTTATAAGCTGCTTAGTTGAAAACAAGTTGCTTTACTTTTCATGGTGAACGAGAAATGATTATTGTTGGGTTACACTGTAATATGGTATTTTATGCTGTGTTTGTAGGCACGTATCTTTAATGAGACTCCTATAAATCCACGAAGATGCCTGCACATCCTTACCAAGATCCTTTACTTGCTGAACCAGGTAACTGCTATCATTTCTTCCCAGTCAGAATGAATATTCCTGAGGCTAATTTCTGATAATTGTCCATGTGAAAGTCTTACACCTCCTCCTGTCAGATTTGGGAGGTAGCTTTTGCAGAGATCAGAAATTGAGTGGTTTTGCTGTAGTGTTATGCTGTCCCTTCCAATTTTGCCACTAAGGTGCGTGAGATATGTGTTAATGAAGATTTTAAGACTTTTTTTTTTTTTTGGTTGGTCTGTGATCACTGCAGCACTGTGCAATTCAAAGGCAACTTGTGTTTGCCCAGTTAAAGTAGGAATAAGTGAGGTGAGGTAAGAACATAGGCCAGGAAGTGATGAAGTGGAAGGTGTCTTGTTCAGGGAGAAGTTGGAAGTGTGATAAGGAAGGAGACTTCCTTTAGGTGTCCACACAGATCAGATTTCCTGCATGTCAGGCAGTATTTAACATGGAGTTACAATCAATCGGGGGAGGTCCTATGCTCTTCAGTCTTAATTGGCTCCAGTCATCTTTAAGTAGATCCCTTCTAAGCAAGGGGATCCTTCTGGTTAACAAGCATGACACAAACCCAACTGCTGATACACTAATGTCAAAAGAGGGAACACGGGCTACTTATCAGACTATTCTACCAAATATGTACCACCGTGGAGAGCATTTATATTGAAACCAAGAAAAGAGGATAGTGGTAAACTTAGCATGTACACCCCAGGAGACACAAGGTGAGGGAGGGACTGTTCTCACACAAGAAAAAGTCTTCATAGAAAAGATTCTTCATGTCTGAGTAGGTATTGCAAGTGGGGACTGAAAGGTGGAGGTGGCCAGATAATGACGGTCTTTTTTCTCTCGCTGCTTTTATGCTGTTTTCAGGGTGAACACTTTGGAACCACTGAAGCCACAGAAGCTTTTTTTGCAATGACCAGATTATTTCAATCTAATGACGTAAGTACCTACAACTTGCTGCCTCCCTGGTTTTGTCTGGATTTTCAGTAATGACAAAGCAGTTGGATATTGGGATGTGGGAGGAGGGTGAGGCAAATACCTCAGAGGATAAGCTCTGCATGCAGAGTACTTGCTGAAGGTAATTCAGGGTTTGGAAACAAATGACTGAATAATAACGTGGTTACTTCTGCACGTTGGTTTTCATGGTGTGTTGTTTGGTTTTGGGTTTTTTTAATGAGTTCAATTACTGTTGTAAAGAATGTGAGTGATCACTTAATATGCAGATCGGTATATTAATATACAAATCGGTATAATGTTATGACTGTTTCTTACACTTGCAAATAACCCCCATCTGCTTAACTCAAAATAGAATTTAAAAGTTGCCTGCAGTTCAAATACTGCTATTCCCTAGAACAACTTGCTCTACTGATGAATCAGCATGGAGTCGAGGGATGAGAACATCCTAAAAATGCTGGATTAAACTTTGGACTTTCCCTAGTGTAAAGTCCTTCTCTGACCTCTTTTGCAGACAGTATAAGAACTGGGGGAAGTGTGCTCCAGGTGATGGGTCTCATTAATTTTTGTTAAAAACGAACTAGCACTTCAGGTTTTTAGAGATTTGGCTGAGGAAAGTTGCCTGTATAACTGTTTTAAAGATGGAATGAAAATTTTGAAGTACAGTGTTTTAAAAATCGACCTTTTAAAAAGTAGGTTTTGGGTTTTTTTTAAAATGTGAATACATCATCTGCTGCCAAAGAACTAAAGTGCCAGTGCTCTTTGTGTATTTCTATTTTTCTTTTACAGTAACAAATAGGTGAGAAGTTATTTTTAAAGCTTTTAACTGGTAATTGGGAGGCTTCTGCCTGATGTATCACTTCTTTCATAATTAACAGGTGGATTTCGTTTTTAGTCTTGCCATTTTACAAGATACATATCTCTTATTTTTCTCCTGGTTTGTTTGATAACAGGGGATAAGGCTGCTATCCAGTCACCAAACATGGTTCTACTTGTGTGCTTGTAGCTTTGCAGAGAAGTGGGGAAAGAGGGTGCCCTATGTAAAAGCTTATTTAAATTTGAAGTTAATATGTAACTTCTAATTAACTTTTAAAACTTCTAGGAAGTGTTTATTCATGATTGCCGTGGAGTTTAATGGTTTTCTGCAATACTCTTTCACAGCAAACCCTTAGAAGAATGTGTTACTTTACTATCAAAGAGATGGCCAATATTTCTGAGGACGTCATCATTGTCACGAGCAGGTAATAGAACCTACAGAAAGCACAGTATGGGAGCTCTGCAATAAGTAGCTCCATCTTAACTTTGTTTTAGCTGCTGTGGGGTTTTTTTTGTAATTATTCTAAAGAATACAGTAAGGGAAGACAAATTGTTCCATCATACAGAGTATGTGTCACCATATGAAGTGTTAATTTCTTCCTCCTGTGTTATTAGGCTTTTCTAAAAAAAGCAAGAGGCTTGCCTACAGTTTCTGTTGGTTGCTACTTGGTTTTCTTGGGTTTGTTTCGTTTCTTTAAATTCTTGGTGTTTGATGGTTTTGCAGAAGCTTCGGCTGTGATTCCTATTTCACTTCTCTGTCAGGGCAGTTAGGGAAGAGCAGAGCAAAGCTCAGTTCAGTTCAACTGAACATCAGGTTTTTTTAGCTACAGAATAGACATTACAGTTGTTGCGAGGGCAAAAATTGGATCTGTAGCTTGTGCTAAGCAATTGCTTTATTTTTTTTTTTTTTAAAGCTGTTCAGCAAACTGAACTTCGCTGTTATCTAAACCAAAATTTCATGTGTTAGAATGAGCTCAGCCATTGTCCTTCTTAGTGTTGTTAAGTAAACCAGGCCTATGGCAAAACAATATTACAGACTATGCATTTTGTACTGTTTTCTATTTCCACAGAATCTGTTGTTATTAATTTTTCAAGCAGCTAATTACTAAGAAGTCATTTCTAGCCAATACTAGAGCTTAGCAGTTATGTGGTAGCAGCTGGAAGAAGAGCTAAATGAGATGAGATGAATGTCACAAAAGGACCAAGACATCGAGACACTAAAGAAATGTTAACAGGGTGTCTTTTTGATTATTCTAGTTTGACCAAAGACATGACAGGGAAGGAGGATGTATACCGAGGCCCGGCTATCAGAGCGCTCTGCAGGATCACTGATGTAAGTACAAATCACATCACTGTTGTGGGAGAGGTGATGAGTGCATTTAAAATAGAAGAATGACTCTCGCAGGGTGTATTTTTAGTAGTAATGGAACAGCTGCTTTAGGAAGGACTGTGCTGAAGCCCTCGGTGGGTGTCAGGAGCTCTGTGGAGCTGTAGCACTGTAAACATGGAGTTAGAAGGCAGGAGCTTGGGAGCTCTAGTTTCTGATCTGAGGTTGCCTTGCTGTAGACTTTGATCACGTCACTAAACCTTCAGGACTGTGCAGCTGATAATCCTTTCCCTTACAGAACTTTTTCATAATTAGCTCAAGTTGGTTTGGTTTGTTGTTTTTTTTTTTTTGAGGGCCTTCTTAATGTGCTGTGCCTGTATTTTTTGCCTTATACTGCTTTTATGCTCTGCTTCCAAAGTAGCAACACTTTTCTTTTTCCCTTTCACAGGGTACGATGTTACAAGCCATTGAGAGATACATGAAGCAAGCCATTGTGGACAAAGTCCCCAGTGTGTCTAGTTCTGCACTGGTGTCTTCCTTAGTAAGTAAAGCAGTAGATTCTTGTAAATCTGGGCATTGTGTTGAGGCTGGGAAGATGAGTCTACTGCATTTATAACTCTGCCTGGCCTTTGTTTTTTTTTCTTTCTTCATATCCTTTTCCTTTGAGATGACTTCATCTCCTCACTGGAAAATAAACAAAAAGTAGTAGTGGAGTTTCCTTCCTCTCAAGCAGATTGCCTTCTCAAACTCCTTCCTTAATGTACTCCTGCTTTAGAATACATCATTTTTAATAACTTTAAATGCAAAACCCTCAGTCACCTCCTTATGCAGCTGGTGTAGAAGATTAATTTATCTGGGGAGGGGCCTTGTCTGGTTTGGAAAGTGAAGCACATTGATGACTGTGAAAGTGCTTATCAGCTTGGTGAGAGTAAGTAGAAACAAGCTGTTCTGTTCTGTGGAAGAACTAACACTGATGACTCCAAAAGAGCATCTAGTTCTGTAACAGGCAATAAGAGCAGTCTGCCTTGTGCTCAGCAAAAATCCATGCAATTGCTGCTCTGGTAAGCCTGCTATTCAAGATTCTTTTTGCTGATATGCAGTAGGAGGGCAAGATGAATAAGGTCGCTGTTTTTTCTCTCCCTTGTTTACAAGAAAAAGCAAGAAAAGATTTTGTTAGATAAGTATTTTTATTGGAGAGGAGAATAGTGAAAGCATGGTAGTCTGAGACGGCAATGTAAGAAAAACCAGGGGTTTATGGGTGCATAGGATAAAGAGACTGGCTGCACTGGTAAATTGAGAAGGCAGAAGACAAGAGCTCCAGCTGATGAGGTAGAGTAGAGCCTGTGTTAGGGCCCTGAGGGTGCAAACAAAGTTGTTTTAATGCTGAGAACTGAAGTCTTCCTGCTGGACCAACCATAGGCAGGTGAATTGCCCTAGTACTGTCTTCTGTCTTGTTTGAACATGAAAGTAACTCAGAGAGTTTTTGTTTATTGAAACAAGTGCATCCATACAAACCATGTATTTGGGAGTTATTCTTTGTTACCTGTAGCATGCATCAAAGCCCTGTCTCGTCTCAAAGTCTGTAAACTTTAAAATTGAAAACAAGGCTCATGGTACTTCACTGTGCTTCTAATGTTAGTTTGTCTGCAGTCTCAATTTGTGGCTTCTTCCAGCATATGATGAAGATTAGTTATGATGTAGTCAAACGGTGGATCAACGAAGCTCAAGAAGCAGCTTCTAGTGACAGCATCATGGTGCAGGTATGTTTGAGGGTGGTTGCCCTGGGAAACTACAGGGTTTTAATGGTACTCTGTGAGTTCTTAAGATAACCTTAGAAAAAGTAACTGGTTTTCCTTTTCCCCCTTATTCTTTTAAAAACAAGAATTGTGATTTGAGGGAAACAACTGTTTCAAAAAATGATGAGTTTCTCCATGATCCCAGTGAAAGATTCATAATTAAGAGCTGGCTCTTTAGTGCAGTCCTCTGCCCTTTCCCTGCTACCCTTCGGATAGCTGGGATGCTCCTGGCTGTTTCACAGTAGTTGCAGAAGGGCTTTGGATCTGAATTTTCAAAACACTTAAAAAAATTCTCACTGACTGCCAGAACACCAGCATCTCATGTCTTGGCTTCAGAAAATTCACCCATGTGCTACAGGACCACAGAGATTAGCCTGAATATCAGTAGGATATCCACATTAGCAGAATCTTTGCACAAATCTTCCAGAGTTGTGGAAATGAAGGTATTCGTATCTTCAGTCAGTGTTACAGACTAACAATCACAAATAAATCTGTAAAATCAGCTTTGTTCTTGCCCAGTTAGCCGCTTCATTAAGTCTTGCTGTGACTCAGTCTTATGGAAAAAAAACCCAAAACAACTAGAAATGTTCCGTTGTACTTTCACTGTAAATGCCTCAAGGATTTTTGTAAGGTCAGCTGTCATTTAAAGGCCTTGGGATGTTGAGTGTACTAGAAATGCAAGTGTTACCGTGCAGTATAATTTAGTAAGCCGAAGCCTTTGCAGTTCTGACACTTAATGAGGAGAAAAGGGAGTAAACTAACTTCATGGCACTTTTGATCTTCAGAAATATGTTGAGGCGCTCTCCTGGTAGACAGGAAGGGGAAGTAAATATTGCAGGTCTTTGTAATTTGTCAGGAAACTCAGATCGTTTGAGGTTGGAAAGTATTTCTGCTAGGAAACAGCACTTATTAGCCCTCTTATGTCTTACGTCCTGGCTTTCCCAACTGCAGTGTGTATTCAATGCCTGCACATCTCTTTCTGATTTTCTAGTATCATGCTTTGGGGCTGCTCTATCACCTTAGAAAAAATGATCGCCTTGCAGTTTCCAAGATGCTGAATAAATTCACTAAATCTGGACTGAAATCCCAGTTTGCCTACTGCATGCTGATCCGAATTGCAAGCAAACTCTTGAAGGAATCTGAAGAGGGGTAAGAGGCAGCATGTGAATTACGATAATTATAGTTTGAGGTAAATGGTAGCTAGGAAATTTGCGTTTTTTAAAGTTGGTGGAAATCTACACTCAGAACTGCAGTGTTAAAAATAAAATGCAGGTAGAAGCAGAATGCTGGACAGAACTGAGTGGAGTTGCATGTGGTGGGGTTTGGATTTTTGTTTTGGCACCACACCGCCAAAATTTAGCTGAGAGGAGGATTAAAACTGCAAAATAATCTCTGGAAATGTTTTATACTTTGTCTAGTGAGATGTATTCCAAACGCAATAAGGCTCTACCTATATTGTGGGGATATAAACCACAGGGTCTCTCATACTAACAGAAGAGGGTGTAGTTATCTGAGAAACTCACCTCCTGATAAAATTCTTTCATCGGGTGGGAATTTTTGCCGGTGGCATGTGATTAATAGTATTGTATTTATTTCTAGAATGCAGCATTTCTAGCTTGAAGAAGGTAATGTAAAGATGAATAGAATAATAATAAAGTTTAGAGCTCAGGTATGAGTCAAGTGACATGATGGTGTAGGAAGCCTGAAAGCCAGTGCTGTGGTTTCTGTCCAGTTCCCAGAAATGTCCTTTTAGTGGTTTGTATGTAATTCAGCGTCACGCTGTGAAATGTTTTCTGTTTGCAGCCATGAAAGTCCACTCTTTGACTTCATTGAGAGCTGTCTGCGGAATAAGCATGAAATGGTTATTTACGAAGCTGCTTCTGCAATCATCCATCTCCCAAACTGCACAGCCCGGGAGCTGGCACCGGCTGTTTCAGGTTGGTCACAGAGTCCTTTGTACCGCCAGCGCAGCTGGAAAAAAAAGGCTTGTAAAGCACATCAAAGACAGTACAGTATAATTAAAATACTGGGCTAAAAATCTGATGTTTCTGATTGTCCCCAGGTTAGGGGACTTTTGGATCCCTTTCTGTGTTCCAAGCACGTTGATCCCTTTTCCTCGTTTAGTCCAGAGTTTTGGGGAAAGGGCACACTAGAGGTGTCACGGAGTGATTCTTGCCTTTTTTCAGCTGCAGGAAATTGGTGGGGGGGTGAAGGCAGAGAAGAACTTGATTGCACAGATGTGCCACAGGTGACTACACAAACCACCTATTATTGATAGAAGATGAAAAACAGGAGGTTATTTTTAACTTGCTTGTGGAGCGAGTGATAAATTATGGATGGAGCTGCATGAATATTTAGCAGCATGTAGTTGAAATGAGATACATTAGACTTTCCTCTCTATTCCCTTTCTTTGAAAAAGACCGTATCTGGTTTTCTGTGGTGAATTCAGACTAAACTGTTTGCACCTCTCAATATCAAAGTGCTGGCACAAGGCAGTTTCCCTTTCCTCATCTGGAAGGCTCTCACCTTCTGCTCCCCAGACATTACAGGGGCCTGGAATTGCACTACTGGGAGCTGGGTTTTGTTAAACAGTGATGACTCTGTAACATTTTGTTGTGAGTTACTTCTTTTGATTTTTTTTTTTTTTTCTTAATTTTTCAGTGCTGCAGCTTTTCTGTAGTTCTCCCAAACCTGTCTTGAGATACGCAGCTGTACGGACCCTTAATAAAGTGAGTGTTTCCAAAACCCTCTAAACGAGCAGAAATCTTTGAGCTTCAGAGGAGGCCAGGCTTCAGTGCCTAATACTGTGTTACCTAAGGTAGAGCGACTGCTCTTGTGGTTACTGTATTTGGAAATACTCCACGCTGGAGAATTAGCTTTTCCATGCCAGATCTCATGGTGTGACAGAAATCTTTTCTACACTCAAGCTATTTCTGTTCATTTCTGGACCACAGGGCTATACCAAGCTGTGGTTGAATAACTTGTGAGCTTTCAGCTGTAAGGAAGCAGAGTTCCAGATATTTAATACTATAAAAAGCGTGAATAGGATGTGTGTGAAGGAGATAACATTCTGATTTCAAAGCTGCACGCCACAACGGAAGCAGTTTGTGACTGTTAAACCCGTGAGCTGTAACTTACAGTTCATTTGAAAGGCTGAAACAAAAGAACCTGAGCTTTGATGGCATCTTGCCAGCCCTCATACGATGTAGGTTTAGTGACAATCCTTAGAGAACAGAGGGATAACGAGAAAAAATACAAATAAAAAATGGTTTTAAATCTTGCCCCGTCGAAAACTTTTGAGTTGCAAGATGTTATTAACCCCCCCTCCCCATATAATTTTGGAATCATTTCCTTTACAGGTGGCCATGAAACATCCGTCTGCAGTCACTGCCTGCAACCTGGACCTGGAAAACCTCATCACTGACTCCAACCGCAGTATCGCTACCCTCGCCATCACCACGCTGCTGAAGACAGGCAGCGAGAGCAGTGTAGACAGGCTCATGAAACAGATCTCTTCCTTCGTGTCAGAAATATCAGATGAGTTTAAGGTGTGGCATTGGAGGCCTCTGCTCTTTCCAGCTGCAGGTTTTTCTCCCATTCTTGTTTTTTTTATTAAGCTTTTCCCATTTGTTAATCCTTCAGTGATTTAATCGGATAGAGCAAAGCCAGCTTGAAATTCCAAAGGTGTAGTCCTCTGCTTTCCAACTTAGACTCTGTCCTTTGCTCCCATCACTCCAAGAAAGGATAAATGTCGTTTGGTGGATTCCTGGCTCCTATGCAGTGTCCTGCAAAACCTTGTACTGCCTTCTGGTTGCCTCTTTGGTCAGGAAGGGGGATTTTAACTCTTCTGATGGAGTCTACGTCTCTTCAGTTTGATACATAGTTAGGAAACAGTGTGAACTGTAAATTTCTACCTAGTTTGTCAAATGTAATCGCTATGAACTGGGGTAATAACTTGATTAAGGATGGTAGTTCTCTTCTACCTGTCCCTTTTACACCATGGAGTTACCTTGAGGAGCGTAGCATGTCTCTACAAAGTCAATGTCCACTAGTGTGCAGTGGTCTCAAGTTCTTGAATTTATGAGATGAGGAAATAAGTATTAGGCAAGTTTAAAACTGCAAAGAGTTTTAATGACAAAATGCAACAAGTTAAGGTAGGCTTGGGTGAGGATCATCACTGGGCAGAAGAAGGGAGAGGAGGCCTTTGAATTAATTTAGTCTGTCCTAAATACAGTCCCTCTAGCAGAGCCAGGTCTTGCAGCATGCTAGCCCAGGGTTGTTAACACGCTCACGCTGACAGTCCACTGCCTGGTTTTATCCTTCTACAGGAATTTAATCTACCAAGGTGACAACTTGAGATAGTGAGAAGCCTGTGGTTTTTTTTCATAGAAAAATAAATGCACATGACTAACATCCTTCTCTGTCGTTTTGCAGGTAGTGGTAGTACAGGCTATCAGTGCTTTGTGCCAGAAGTACCCGCGGAAGCACAGCGTCATGATGACCTTCCTCTCCAACATGCTCAGGGATGATGTATGTGCGAAATTTTCTTTGTGCAGTTATTGGCAGGTAGCTCTGATGATAGGAGGGCTCTCTTCTGTCATCTGTCAGTGGGTTCACAGCAGTGATGGGGCCTGACTGATGGCCAAGACCTTGTTTATCTCGTGGGTCAGACCTGTCTGAAATGTGCTTATGAGTTAGAGCTGGTACATCAAAAAGTGGGCTGAAGAGGGGCTCAGATGATGTGCCTGTATGGGTCAGGGGGGACTGGGAAGACCCTGTTCGATCATCCAGCACACCTTCTCTTTTCTTTTTATGTACAAATGCTTGTTTTTCCTCAATGGAAAGAATTAATTGAAGCATGAGGGGAACTGAGCAGCGCTGCAGTCTGAGCTCTGCCTGCCAGGTCAGTGTCCTTGATTTGCCTTTCCCAGGGTGGCTTTGAGTACAAGCGAGCCATTGTGGACTGTATAATCAGCATCATCGAGGAGAATCCTGAGAGTAAGGAATCAGGCTTGGCTCACCTCTGCGAGTTCATTGAAGACTGCGAACACACTGTCCTAGCCACAAAGATCCTGCACCTCCTCGGGAAAGAGGGGCCAAGGACTCCGTCCCCATCCAAGTACATCCGCTTCATATTCAACAGGGTGGTGCTGGAGAACGAGGCTGTGAGGGCTGGTAAGTTCAGCTCAAAATGCTTGATGGTTTCATATCTGAGCTCTGCTAGAAATTTCAAGCCCAAAACTGAGTTTGGGGATGGGAGGCAACAGTTGCTTCACTGTGAAGAGTTAGATCTTTGTACATTAGCTATGAGATAAACAAGTTACAGGATAAAAAATTAAACTCCTTGTATCATTTTAGCATCAGCCCTTGGTCCTCCTGCTTCACAGAACATGAGCAGTATATTAGCTTCTAGTCCCTTCTTTGAATGTCTCCTAGAAGGCAGAAGGTAATCCATGAGGAGGGGATGCTGCTAGTTCCCTGTTTAACGGCATTGTCTGCTATGGTCTATCGTGTCTAAGGAAATCTCCCCACACAAGACAAGGATTCTTCCTTGGAAACATGTTGCAGACTGATAATTCCGTCCTGTGGAGCCTTTGCAACAAACCCTTTAGGGTGTTCAGCTTATTTTCATGCTTGAGACTTGACTTTGGAGGGATGTCAGCATTGGTTTGATCTCCTGCCTGTTAGAAGAGGAAGTACTCCTGGGAGAGAGGAAGGAAAACAAGCTCACAAATATAGTATGATCCAGATTGCATTTGACATTTGGTCACAGTTTCCTAATTGTGACCGAGGAGCACATGAAGAGCATCCTCCAGAGAGCACATGCTGTCTAGAAACTTTGTCATGGTGAAAGAACGGCTTCTTTTTTAACTGCCAAGGCCATAAAGCTTGTACGTCCTTATAGACCCTTTTCTTTCTTTCTATACGTGGAATTTCTTCAAGCTGATGCTGAGCTGAAACAGGATTAGTTTGGGCAGGCAGCTCTGCATGGTTGCTGAGGGGTTTCAACTCCTTACAAAGTCGCAGGGTGCAGTCTGACCCTGGCTGCCACTGGACGTGCGTCACCCTTGTGGGTGGAAAACAGATTTCTCGGGGGTGTGAGCTACAGCTGATGGCAGAGGGGCCAACAACCACAGTGAGCCATGGAGCTTGAACTAACCTTATCTGATAGAGAGTTCTCTCAGAGAAGAGTTGCAGGGCTGTTAAGCTGGTGTTGTTTTGTTATTCCCTGCTACAAAACTATTTCCATTTGAGAACACAGAAGTAGTTTAGTCTTTCCATAACTAGAAGGTTTGTGGTGTGGAAGTGAAAACCTGTGTAAATTGGAACTTCAGGACAATGGTACGGGCAGTGCTTTCATTCTGACTCTGAGAATGTGTTTGCCTGTCGCTTGAGCACCTCTGACATTTCCCCATTTCTTCTCTAGCTGCTGTAAGTGCACTAGCAAAGTTTGGTGCCCAGAATGAGAATCTTCTTCCGAGCATCTTGGTGCTTTTGCAGAGGTGAGTGGGTATGGCTGGGCATGGGATGAGTTTGTTGGTGACACTGGGTGGTCTGTCTCCACAGAACCAAGGTCGGACCAGGTCAGAGCTTTGAGGTTCATAAAACATATCACTTGAGGAGTTGGGAGATGGCTGACTGTCTTCAGCCTTTCCTTCCTGTCTGGAGGAAGCACAGCAGTGCTGGATATAAGAAAACAAAAGATGTGATTAATTATAAAAACATTAAATGGTAATTGACAGTGTTGATTTCCAGTCGGCTGAACAGGAGCCAGCAGTGTGCCCAGGGGGCCAAGGAGGGCAATGGCATCCTGACTTGTGTCAGCACTGGCGTGGCCAGCAGGGACAGGAGAGGGATCTGAGCCCTGGGCTGGGCACTGGGGAGGCCGCCCCTCGCTGAGTGGGTTCAGTGTTGGGCCCCTCACCCCAAAAAGGCCATTGAATGACTCGAGCTTGGCCAGAGAAGGGCAACGGAGCTGGGGCAGGGTCTGGAGCACAGGTCTGCTGGGGAGCGGCTGGGGGAACTGGGGGGGTTCAGTCTGGAGAAGAGGAGGCTGAGGGGAGACCTCCTGGCCCTCTGCAACTCCCTGCCAGGAGGGGGCAGAGAGGGGGGATGAGTCTCTGGAGCCAAGGAGCCAGCGCCAGGCCCCGAGGGAATGGCCTCAAGCTGCCCAGGGCAGGGTCAGGCTGGCTCTGAGGAAGGATTTCTGTGCAGAAGGGGCTGTTGGGCGTTGGAATGGGCTGCCCAGGGCAGGGGGGAGTCCCCGGGATCCCTGGAGGGGTTGAAGAGTCGGGCTGAGCCGGCGCTGAGGGATCTGGGGGAGTTGGGAACAGTCAGGGGGAGGGTCATGGTGGGGCTGGAGGAGCTTCAAGGGCTTTTCCAGCTGAGATGATTCTGGGATTCTGTAATCTGGTCTGAGAATATTCCTCAGTGGGTAATAAATGTGTAGTAGTTTAGCACTTTTTTTGCATCACTTGAAGCAAGAAAATGTATTTCCATGTTACTCATAAATAGCTTTTGTGTACAGTTGAGTAGTGATCTCAGGTGTTGCCACTTCACAGGTTCATGTCTCTTGTTAAAACCATTCAGCCTCCTTAAATTGTCAATACCATAAATATCATGTTCTTCAATTCTCTATCACTATGGTGTAAACCTGTGCTGTGTCTGGCTTCTGTGGGGAGTAGAATAATTCAGATTATGAACTGCTTGAGCAGAAGGCAACCTCAATGTAGGTGCAAGTGAATTACAACCGCAAGAAGTAGCTTAAGCGATGTGGAGAGGGAGGGAAGTTGCCAGGAAGGAAACTCTCTGTATAAACCACTTGCTATAGTTGAAAAACTTGAGCACACAGCCGTTTTTTCAGGCTGAAACAGAAAGCACCCTTAACATGTTTATTTTTGTAATCTGTCTGTTTCTTCTGCTTTTGTTCTGTTGTGGAAGAATGCTGTTAAAAAAAACCCCAAACCTACAACCTGTTGGAATTATTAGCCATAAAATACAGGTGTATGTTTTATAATTTAGCAAGGGTGCATGGTGTTAACAATTCACATACACACCTCCTCTAATCTTAGTTTTCTGTTGTGACGCTTGCGTATAAACTTCAATTATCGCGTTGTACAAACACCTTTTTTTTGCATAATTGGGAAATCTATTGAGAGACCTCAGACTCTCGTCAAAGTATTTGAGTCCAGTCTTGTTGGTGCTGTTTTTAGCACTGAGCTGGCTGACTCCTGTCCTCTTGTTCCCCTAAACAGATGCATGATGGACAGCGATGATGAAGTTCGGGACAGAGCAACGTTCTACTTGAACGTACTGCAGCAGAGACAGATAGCACTGAACGCTGCCTATATTTTTAACGGTCAGTAATAAAATAAAAAGAAGTCTGAGCTATTATTTCACATTCTGTGTTACAGGTGGGCTTTGCTGCTGTAAGAATAGTTTTCTGTAGTGTTACTTGGGTCAGAATGACTAGAAAGGACAGAACCCTGTTTTTTTCTGCCTGCAAACCTGCAAAGCACTTGTGCTAACAGAATGGCAGGGTATGGGTTGGACTTTTTTTATCATTGCCTCTTCCTTCACTTGAGCAATTTTCTTAATCTTTCCTCCACCCCCTCCATTATAAAATGAGGATGGCACATCTTGTTGCCAGAACTGGCTGTAAAAACGTTGTAGTTGAAAGTTCATGCAAGCAGAATATTTAACATATTTAAGACTACTGCAGGAGGACTTTTCCTGAGTGAACTGCTTAGACTGCAGTACCCTCTGAAATGGCAACTGCCTTTGTTACCTTCAGAGCAGTTTTTTTATTCTATCCATATCTTGAAGTACTTAGCATGTGTGTTTTGTGTTTACTGAGAAATTTAAGTGCTTCTCCAGCTTTTTATTGGCCAAAGTCCAAACCACATCTGTCTAGCTGATAGATTCCTCACTAGAGCTTTTCTCTGCAGTGTGAACTAACGGACAGACTACAGAGAAGAGCTCTTCAAATAATCTTCCTAGTTTGTATCATAAGAGGGAGGTAATGAGACACAGTTAAGTGTTGGTTTCTTGGTTTTTTTTTTTCAGACTCTGCCATCTTACTGCTTTTGGTGCGGTGAGCAAGCCAAAATTTGCACTGTTCATTTGAGAAACCTGTATCATAGTGCCTGGAGGCCTCTGACAGTTCCTGCTATTAAAAATTTTTCTGCCCGTGCTTCTACTTTGCAGGGTTGACCGTCTCTGTTCCTGGGATGGAGAAAGCCCTGCACCAATATACCCTGGAGCCTTCTGACAAACCTTTTGATATGAAAACAGTTCCACTGGCTACTGCACCAATCTTTGAACAGAAAGCAGGTAACACTCAGACTTCATTGAAATAAGCTGTAGGCCTAGCTCTAAGCGTTCAGGTTGCCATAATGACACTTGATGTCTGTAAACTGGCTGCCATCCTCGTAGGGTCAGGCCAAGACTGGAGGTGGCTCGGCCCCACAGGTTACGGTGTCACTGGCTTTGCAGAAACAAGCCTGCCAAATCTTTCACAGATAAAGGAAGACAGCCTTCTTCCAAAGAAATATGGATTGGCAAGAATGTCATTATTTCTTTTGTCGATCATGTTTCCAGAGAGGACTTTGTACACAATCAGAATTTATTAGTTCATAGATATTTGAAAATAGTACATTTCAGAAGCACTTAGTCACTTCACTGGCTTTCTTCCATGTTCTTGCACAATTCTTGTATTTTGACTTTGCTCAACTTTTTAAAAAAAGGTTTGGTTTTGGTTTGGGGTTTTTTTCCCCTTCTCCTCCTTCTTCCAACTCTTTTGCTGGCTATTCTGGACTATTCTGGTTTCTTCATCGTTACTCAAACATCTCTTCTTTCCTTACAATCCAATACCATCTTGCAGAAAAGACATTTGTGTGTGTGTGTGTGTGTGTGTGTGTGTGTGTCTGTGCGCGAGGAACCAGTTTGGCAGTGGCTTGCAGCAGAATGTGTGAAACACTACAAGCTAAGGAATTTCTAGAGGAAATAGAACAACATTTGAAACTCCTCCATTGTGTAGTTGACAGCACAATGCCTTTGCTTTTTTTTCTTCACAGAGATTGCTCTAGTGACCAGCAAGCCTGAGAAAGTTGCTCCTTCACGTCAGGACATATTTCAAGGTAGGAGAGATCAGTGGGTCTCCAGCGCTTGAATTGTTGGGAGGATTGGCCACAGGTCTGTGGCCAATAAACAAGGCTGTCACTAAGTGTCTGACATCTTCTTTTCCTTTCTGCACAGAACAACTGGCAGCCATTCCAGAGTTTAAGAACTTGGGTCTGTTATTCAAGTCTTCAGAACCAGTGCAGCTCACAGAAGCAGAAACAGAGTATTTTGTTCGTTGTATTAAACATGTGTTCACAAATCACATTGTTTTCCAGGTGAGTGACGTTACACGCTTTGGTGCAATAGTTATTGGCTCTTAATGATGTCTGGGTGTAGTGTAAGCAGTGTTGTTGCTCTGCCCTGGAGAGGACAGCTACTCTCTGAAGGGATTTTCAAGGCTGAGTTAGGAGGGTGTGTGCTGCTTGCCTCAACAATCAGAAAAGGATGGGGGTTATGATCCCATCTGTCAAAGAATTCCAGTGAAATTGGAGGAAAAAGCTGTTCTGTGAGAACAGAAGGCTTGATCAAGATGCAGGATGTATGCTGTGGACTATTGTAGCTGACTTGGGGGAAAATTCTTGATTAGAATCGTTTCTTCTGTGTTCAAGTTCTTCTCAATTTCTTCTTTTTTGCAGTTTGATTGCACAAACACGTTAAATGATCAGCTGCTGGAGAGAGTCACCGTGCAGATGGAGCCGTCGGACGCTTACGACGTGATCTGTTGCATCCCAGCACCCAGCCTGGCTTACAACCAGCCTGGCATGTGTTACACCCTTGTCCAGATTCCCCAGGATGACCCCACTGCAGGTACCTGCTGCGAGGGAGTAGTTCTGCATGACAAATCCCTCAGATGAAGTTTTTGGAGAACACATAATAAAATGTTTAGGGTGTGGGATTTGGTGAGGGCATACTGGGATTCTAGTGCTGTTTTTTCCTCATGTGTGACGTGCTGGTTTTTCTATAGAACCTGTTTTTGTGCAAAATAGTATACGTGCTTTTTACAAAATAATATATGTGCTTTTTAAATAATGAGTAGTATTGGATGATTAAAAATGGGATGTTAGAGAAGATGGGAGAGCATGCAGGTAAGGGAGGAAACAGTTTACGACCTTGAATCAGTGACAGGAGCACATTTGAAAACACTGGTGGTAGTATTCAAGAACAACATCAGTAAAAGGAAAATGCAAATGGAAAAAAAATTAGTAGTTTGGGCCTCTACATATTTGACGAGTGCAATTTTTCCTCTCTTTAGAGATTTAGAAACAACTATGAAAGGTAGGAATAAGGGATATTCTTGGGCGTAAAACTTCCCTTTCTTTCTTTTATTATTCACACTTAAAAAGCAACTCCATTGGATTTGCAGTTGGTTTAAGATGACTCAGGTTGTCAGCAGGGTGGATTTCTTGGTTATTGCTTTAATACCAGGAAAGATTAGAACTAGTCCAGATCCCCTGAACTGTGGTTTTGGATCATAATCCACTCCTCAGAAAACCCATGCAGAGTTTCTCCTGGTAGCTAATGCTGAGTGGATCTCGCTGGGGCACTCTGAGTCAGTGAGCCTGTGCTTCTTACACTATGGCATACTCCCGGGGTCCTCCTTTGGCCTCTGTCTTAAAGTCTGGAGGGAGATTTTATAAGACGTTGCAAAGTGCTCTGACCACAGCCACGTCTGTGTCTTCTGGGGCCAATCCAACGTATGTTCTTTGCTGTCTCTCTTTGGGAAGCGAGGGCTCAAGCAGAAGAAATTGCAGCACTAACCTATACAGGCTTTTTCTTTCTTCCCTCAGTTGCTTGTACTTTCAGTTGCACAATGAAGTTCACTGTTCGAGACTGTGATCCAAACACAGGCGTGCCAGAAGAAGATGGCTATGATGATGAATATGTGGTAAGTTCAGGACTTTGTTGTTTTTTGTTTGTTTGTTTGTTTCTTGTCACTGATTCTGAATACACATGGCCATTGGGCTGACAGTCTCCTTCCAGATCTGAAAGCAGTAGGAGAGAATGACAGGCCTGCCTGAAACACCATTTCCAAAATGCTGTAGTTGTACTTTTAGATCCTTCCCCAAAACCTTGCCTCTGCCAAAAGTTAGTTTAGCTTTAGTGCTCTGTGGAGATTAAGATTTGTGGGGCCAGACAAGAAGGAAGGAAGAACTTCCAGTCTGTTTTCAGAACTGTGGCCCAGTCTTTCCATTCCAAGCATTTGCACTTCTGTTTATTGTGTCTGTGTTCTTGATCACTGAAATACAAGTCAGATCTCAGGGAAGTGCCTGACTTTTTGGATTTGGAGGAAGTAAAGGCCCCTTCTGGATTCTGAAAAAAATCTCTCCTCAGATGCCCAGTATGGGCTTAGAATGGCTTTAACTCACAAGGTGACTGCCCCATTTTCTGCGCTTCTTTGGTCTCACAGATGTTTTCGTGTAAATGTTTTTAAGTTTTACAGATGACCACCATAAATACTGGTTTTCCTCTCTGCTTTTTAGAGGCTATTGTGTGCTTTTGAAATTAAAGCCAGGCATGCCAGAGTCATTTTGGCAAAACGCTGCTGTCTCTCTTTGTCTGTCTCTTTCTTTCTAAGATGAGGATCATTTCTGTAACTGGCAGCTGAAAAATCTCCCTTGCTTTTCTGTCAGTTGGAAGATTTGGAGGTGACCGTGTCTGATCATATTCAGAAGGTTTTAAAGCCTAACTTCGCAGCTGCGTGGGAAGAAGTGGGAGATGACTTTGAGAAAGAAGAAACCTTTGCGCTCAGTTCGATTAAAACCCTTGACGGTGAGATGATCTCTCCTCATTTATTGGTGACCCACATAGTAATCCTCGTAAATCTGCCATGCTGGGAATATTTTTAGTGTGGTAGGAGGAAAATTTGGTGCCTTCCTGTCGTGGCATTACGTCCCAGCAGTAAGTTTTTGTGTTGCAATGTTGGAATTACGGTGAGTGGAAGGTTGGCAGCGCTCTTGCTTGAGGCTGGTTGAAGGGAGGGCTGTGTTCCTGGGCTGTTAAAACAGCAGGAGGGATGTGGCAAAGTAGGTGTGTTGGTGGGGCTGCAATTAAGATAATGAATGAAAATGGTTAATGGGTGCTTAGAGAATGCCTTTAATTGCTAACTAGCTCTGACAGAAAGCCTGGCACCAACCTGGAGGTCATTTTCTTTTTCAATCTTTAATGCAGAAGCTGTCAATAACATCATCAAGTTCTTGGGCATGCAGCCTTGTGAGAGATCAGATAAAGTGCCAGAGAACAAAAATTCTCACACGCTCTACTTAGCTGGTAAGTATTCACACTACTGAACTCTATGTTTCCATGTCCCCACAGATTTTTACTAAATGAAAGGAAATGGGTTAGGAGCTTCTGCTCTTATTTCAGAGGGGTTTTTTTCCTCTGTAGAAAGCTGAGGTGAACCAGCAGCTGGTGCTAACTTGGAACCCTCTGTCACGGGTGTACTCGGACTAGGCTGTGTCTCTTGGAATTGAGCTATTTTATTTAAGGGAATAGTAGTGAATCCTCTGAATGAAGAACTTCCAGAGCAGACATGTAACTAAACTCCTTACCTGAGGTTATCTCAGAAGGGGGTTCCTAGGACCATCTTGTTTTCAAGTTCCTATCACTAGAGACACATCCTGAATTAGTCCCCAGTACCCACAGCTTCTTGTTTGGTGCCTGTAGTCCAAGCTTACGGTTTTGTGCAATCCCTGGCAGAGAAGTGCTCTACAAAACTTTGCTGCAGTTATTAAAACAAAACTGCTGTGAGCGTGACAGAAGAGTCAGATCTTCATTTATTTCAGAGGTAGAATTGGTAACCCCAGGTCTGTCTGTGTAGTGGTGTTGAAGTGGGACTGGAGGTGGCTTGTCCTGGGCTCTGAATTACCTCCAGGAGCGCCACTTCCAGGCCTGCTAGTAGAAGTGAAGGAGGATTATTCCTCCCTTAATGGCAAGGGCACGGCAGAATTACAATATGTGTTGCCTTCTCAAACCAGAAGCAAGCTTCAGCTAGCCACTTGCTGATTTCTACCTATTTAAATCAACCTAGCCCTCCAGCAGGTCTGTTTAATTAGGACAGTATATGTTATCATCAGTCTTGACTTCAAGAATTTAGGGGATTTTGGGGTTCTGGGGCTTTTTTTTTTTTTTGTCATTTTCCCCCCTCTCTGCAACTGGCCGTAGACTGAATCTGTCTTGCACTCACCAAGTTGTTGGCTCCTGGGTTAGGCCTAGATCACTGAGCTGCTCTTAAACTTATTTCTGAACTGTTGCTTTGTCCCCAGGTGTATACAGAGGCAGCTGTGACGTGCTGGTGAGGTCCAGGCTTGCTCTAGGAGATGGTGTCACCATGCAGGTGACAGTTAGGAGCAAGGAAGAAACACCCGTAGATGTCATCCTGGCTTCCGTAGGCTGAGTCTTACAGCACGTCTACTGTGATGGAAACCTCTGCAAGCACTGGTTGGGTATTTCACTGGATATCAAGCAGCCTGTCTGTCCTTCTGCATGTAGTTTTTATTCCTCGATTTGGTAAATATTTTGTATGATGTTACAGTAGTGGCAATAGTGACTGGCTGGTGCTGAGCCTTTCCCGTGTCCCTTCCCTCGTTGTCACTTACACATTCCCATCTAACTTATTGCATCTCTGGCCACTTGCAGTAGAGCAGGGAAGATAAAAGATGCAGGTGGTAAGAAAATGGAATCAGACTTTTGTCAAAACTGATTTTTATTAACAGAAAATAAACACTGGTCCAAGTGGTGGAATTCATATGAATTACTGTTAATAAAATAGAAATTTTTTTGTTCTAATTCTGTCTGCTTCAGTACGGAAAAAATAGCCCATAATGGCTGTTTACTCGCAGAAGCCCCTTATTCCTAAAGGGATGCTATAAAATTTCAAATATAAGCAGTTAAAAAACACACAAAACCTGCAGAGTCTGCCAACCTGCAAATTTACAATAGCTTCATGATTGTCTCCTCTCTTCTGCACAGAAAAATCAGTGTACAGAGAGATTAAATTTCCCCTATCAAGTCACTTTCAATTCTCTGAGCCTTATGTCAGATAATCCCAAACAACAGGGCAGCCTCCTCCTGGGCTCAACGATGTGAAACACCCTGTATCAAAAGTTGGGAAGAGAAGGGGAAGGAGGGACCTTGCGGTGACTTCTTGTGAGGGAAGTTCTGCATCTCTCTGCTCTGATGAACTGGGTGTTTCTTAAATATCAAGTCAGGGTGAGGAAGGAAGGCGGGAATACTATTTTCATAATAATTTACACACCCATCCCAGATCCCTGTGTCTGGAGTAGCTATTGCTTAGAAGAACAGCTTGGCTTTTGCTAGTGCCATTGTTACATATTCAGCTTGCTCTAGTGAAACAGGGACCAGCCTGCCCTGGTAGAACTTGCTACAGCCAAGCTCCTGAGGTAATTACACCCCTGGGACTGTTGGTGAGCAGCTCTGCTTGCTGAAAAATAGAGAAACACAGGAAGTGGTAAAAACTTGAGGTTTAGAGCTTGCCTTTGGGTAACTGGCCATTAAAAAGAGATTACTGAAGACATGATGACTGCTTAAATGACCCTTTAGGTGTGCAGAGCATCATTGCCTGTATTTTGAGGGATTACAGATCCAGCTCTCCTGCTGTATGTAGTGTAGGCAAACTCAGTTTTAAATTCTTCAGTCCTGCCAAGCTGAGGGATATCATTTCAACTGCCTGCACAGCAACTCAAAAACCAGATCAGTATCCATCTTGGGAGTATGTGCATCAACCCGTGGCTGCTAGTGGTCCTGTTTTACCTGTGGTGCACAGTGTAGCCTGGCCATGAAGGCAAGAAAGAATTCTGGGGCTGATACATGTGCTGTGCCTCCCCTCAGGTGCTCTTGTTTTCCCTTGAGCCCTCCTGGCTTTAAACACAGAGACAGGCTGCTCGAGAAGCAAGAGCACAGGGCTGGAAGAGCTGTCAGCATCCTGTAACGCTGTTTAGGCCAACAGTTTTGTCCGTGCCTCCATGCAGGCTGTTTTATGGTTCTCAAAGGATTTAACTGCAAAAATGCAGCAGTTTGGCAGCCAGAGATTAGGGTGTTAGTGCAGAGTGTTGAATCTGGAGATAAAATGAAGGTTTCTTCCTGCCCCCAAAGCCTGACTTGTCAACAGAGAGCAAGAACCAAGCTGCAGCAGCTCAGAAGGAGTTGATGAAGTTCAGATACGCATTCAGGAAGCCTGTTGGATCCTCCAGCTGCGGATAGTGGCTAATGTGGTCGTCCAGCACAGACACCGTGGACGTGGGAAGCACCTTCCTGTCGGAAGAACGCAGCAACTTAAGCACAGGAACTGCTGCTCAGCCTGCAGCCACCCATGAGGACAGAACCCTCTCACACAGCTGGGATTCTGCTCATAACATGGTTTGGGGACAAAAAAGCCTGTAGCTGCTACAGCTGATCACTCTTCCAACCGGTGGATTTACTTCAGGTTAATTTGGAAGAGAAGACTCCCTCAATTGATAAATCTTACTTCAGTCTAATGTGGTTTCAAAATGCATAATTGATTTGACTGAGAATTGTGACTTTTGGTGCCTAAAATGGGGAAGCCATTTCCAAACTGCTTCTCTAGCTGAATCACATGGCTGCGCAGGTTACAGGTGGGAATTAAAAACAGCCTCAGTGAAAAGGAAATTGAAGGAAAAATCCAAGACAATCTCCCTCGAAATGAACTCCCTGTTGCATACTCCCACTTTGTGGTGGGTATTGTCTTACCTGTAAAGCTGAAGAAACTCTGGGTGCGGATTCACAGGGTCCAGGGGCCCGTAGATCAGATGCACTGCAAGAAAGAAACACAGACAGAGCTTTTATACCCAAGGACATCCCTAGACCGAGCCAAGGAGACATGTTGCAGACGTGTTCCCCCCTTGCACAGAGCTCGGGAAGCTTTCAGCTGAGCACTGAGCTCTTGCTTGTCCGCCCTGGGGGTCAAGTTCAGCCTCCAACCCTCCTCCTGCAAACACCAAACCTTGCCTTGAGTTGCTGCAACTTCTCCTGAGCTTGAAAAGCACCTCAGCTTGCCTGGGCTGGAGAAACTGGAAGCTGTGAACCAGCTTCTAAAGGAAAGTTACCTCTGCTCAGTGGAACAAACTTTTTTTTTTCCCTCTAATAATTTCACAGCTCTCCGCTGTAACCGAGCAGGGAATTTTGTTATCGCTTGCATGAACTGGATTTGAGCCACGTCATCCTCATCATTAGTTGAAGAAGCCAACACCACCCTTCAGTGACTGCAAACAAGAGGGGTGATTCCCAACATCCCAACCAGTAAATCAAAGAAAATGGATTCCTACTCACATGGGACAGAGGTGGACATCAAAGCCCCAACCCAGCGGTCTCTGTGCTTCTTTCTCTGGTTTATGTACTGCAAAATACTGAAGAGAAACCTGTTGTTATGCAGCAGATGGTGCCCAGCCTGGAAATGGCTTTTAATTAGGAAGGGAGAAACAACCTGCAGGTTGGGGAGATGGGAGGATAAGGTTTGAATCCTTTTCCAGATGAAATAGAAGCAAATTTGGGTCCTCTGCTCCTAGTCAAATGCGACAGGGTTGTAAAAGAAGGGGTGAACTGTTGTAATCTTTGTGCTGGACGATGCAATGAATCCCAGAATCCTCTGGGTTGGAAAAGCCTTTGCAGCTCCTCCAGCCCAGGCATGACCCTCCCCCTGACCGTTCCCAACTCCCCCAGATCCCTCAGTGCTGGCTCAGCCCGACTCTTCAACCCCTCCAGGGATCCCGGGGACTCCCCCCTGCCCTGGGCAGCCCATTCCAACGCCCAACAGCCCCTTCTGCACAGAAACCCTTCCTCAGAGCCAGCCTGACCCTGCCCTGGGCAGCTTGAGGCCATTCCCTCGGGGCCTGGCGCTGGCTCCTTGGCTCCAGAGACTCATCCCCCCTCTCTGCCCCCTCCTGGCAGGGAGTTGCCGAGGGCCAGGAGGTCTCCCCTCAGCCTCCTCTTCTCCAGACTGAACCCCCCCAGTTCCCCCAGCCGCTCCCCAGCAGACCTGTGCTCCAGACCCTGCCCCAGCTCCGCTGCCCTTCTCTGCCCACGCTCGAGTCATTCAATGGCCTTTTTGGGGTGAGGGGCCCAAAACTGAACCCACTCAGCGAGGGGCGGCCTCACCAGTGCCGAGCCCAGGGCTCAGATCCCTTCCCTGTCCCTGCTGGCCACGCCAGTGCTGACACCAGCCAGGATACCGTTGCCCTCCTTGGCCCCCTGGGCACACTCTGGCTCATTCTCACCCCCCCAGTCCCTCTCTGACCGGCAGCTCTCCAGCCACTCCTCCCCAGGCCTGTAGCCCTGCTGGGGGTTGTTGTGGCCCAAGGGCAGCCCCCGGCATTTGCCCTCAGTGAAGCTCCCCCAGTTGGGCTCAGCCCATGGCTCCAGCCTGGTGAGTGAGTCACAGTGAGCTGCAGGCAGCTGACAAACAAGGACCAAAAGACTGATTTACTCCTTAACAAACCTCATGCTGCTTTGCTTGGGCAGCAGGGCAAAAAGGAGGGTTGCAATCAGGTCCTACAAAATGTCAGGGCAGAAATCAGCCACTGCAGAGGCAGCGTCGTCTGAGCACTCCCACGCTCAGGGGCATCGCGGCGGCTCTGACACCATTTCAGTGCCCCGCAGAAGACGAACCAGCGTTGAACCACTGAGCGTGGAGGAATGCAGAGGAAGATAAATTGCACAGGTCAGGTCTTGCAGTGAAAATCTGAACCGCTAACAGCTCCTCAGCCTGTCTCCTCGCCCCAGCCAGCAACGCGGTGACTCCTCGCTTCAGCACAGCTCTCAGTGGGGTGAGGCTCACAATTTAAACTTCAGATTCAAGTCAGTTGGGTTATAAAAAGCCTGCCAAGGATGGGAAGCTATGCTAAATATACTGATACTCTTGACACATGGCATTTAAAGAGCTGGAGGTATTTTGGCACTTGAGCTTCCCATCAGGACTGTGCTGCCAACAAAGGTGACATGGCAAAAATTTGCCATGATGCAACTTGCCAGAGGGGCAGTTCGTCAGCCAGTGTAGCTATTGCTGGGCTTGGGTGTGTATCTCTTGTTACAAAAGGCAATTAGTAAGTGCCCTTGGGTGAGGCTGAGCTGTCTGGTCCTTTCTGGGGTTTGTCTGGAGATGGTGGGAGGAGAGAGGAGTTTGTATGCTCAGGGGGGAAGGGGACACAGAGGTCCCACTGAATGGGGATACTGAAATCACAACCACCAGCCTGAGGTCCTGCCAAAAACCTCAAACTGGAGAAAAACAGATTTAGCTCCAGTTGTTTATAAAAATGACAGATTCAAGCCCCTAACTTCTAAAGGAGAAAACTCCCCCACATTGTCCATCTCCAACGTCATCCTCCCACCATGTGCAGGCTCAGATCATGCTGATTCAATTTCTTTTGCCCGCCTTGCACCATCCCAGCAAGAATCCCTGCTCCTGCATCACGCCCCCCCCAGCTCTTTTTTGGGGTGTGATGATGATTCCAGACCCCAGCAGGAGCAGCTGGAGGCTCTGGGGTGCCAGGGTCCAGGGACTTGGCTGTGCTCTTGGTAACCTCTGAGCTGCTGCATGGCTCTGCCGGCAAACAGAGGGACGCCACGGGTGTAAAACTAAACTCGGGCAGCAATTAACAGCGACGTACCTGTCAACAACGAGATTGCCATCGTTGGTCCTCACCACCGTCCACATGTCCCAGTACTCTGCCTGTGAAGGCTGCGTGTAGGGCCCAAAGACAGCCCCAAGCCTGCGGGAAAAAAAAAGTTCAGAGTGGCACGGCAGCAACCGTGTTAGTGGATGACTCAAAAACTAGCCAAAGGCAAAAAAAACCCCCAACGATTGAGTGCTTCCAGCTTCCACTGTAAAACATGTGAGTGCAATCACAGCACTGCAAATCATCCCCTGAAGGCACCCGGTGTTGGACTTGGCCAGTTCAAAGGGCTTTTTGGAAAACAAAAGAGGTTGCACCATTTGATAAAACTATGTATCTGATTGCCTGGTGTATGTAGAGTGTGAGTAGGGATTTCATCGCCTCTGTAACCGGCGTGAGGCCAACACTCGTGGGCGAGAAGGATTTCAGCCTGTGGTTTATTATTAGGCTGAAGTGTTTTGCCAACCTGGAGAGGGAATGGCCCAGAAGATCAAGGTCGTTCAAATCCAGGGGCAAATCTCTCCTGGGACAGTGCCAGGGAAACTGCTCACCTGCCAAATACCCTAATTCCTACATTGGGCCCCTCCCCACTTGGCTCACGTCCCCCGTACGGACTGTGCCCAGCACCACGGAGACTCACCCTCTGGAGAAGAAAAAGAAGTTCATCAGCCGCGTGATGACGGGGGACAGCAAACCCCCATCCTTGAGGATCTTAGGCAGAAGGGAAAAAAAGGAAACAGCACTACTCGGTATCATACAGACGGGTAAATACTGCCTCCTCAGAGGGCTCTTCCCCTGGCTCCCTGTATTCTGGCAGTTTCCCAGCTGAGCTCTGACCCTCGAGATGTACATGAGCTCTCAGCGGTGAGACGTCAGCACTTCAAGGGGTGATTATTGGGAAATTTGGATGCGATAAGCTGCATCCTGACAGCCCCTGCTTCTCCCCACCGCCTCTAACGATGCCTGTGAGCAACTCGGGTGCCATTACCGAAGCGGGGAAAGCAGCAGGTATCTGAGGCGGGTAAAACCCCAAACTCACAGAGTCAGCCTTCTGCTTGAGGGGCGATTCAGTACGACTAGAGGGGGTAGCAGCTCACCTTCTGGATGAACCGGGGGTAGTGCGTTTCGGGGAAAATCCCTGGAAGGATGTCAAAAAACAAGAGTTGTAGCGCTACAGGTGTTTTGCTCTGCATCTCCCAGTCTCTTCCCCGTCTTTGTGGTGCCATGAAATATGGCACAGGCAGCCCCAGGACTGATGCTGCTGGTTAATTACAGCACCTTAATTGCAATTCGCTTGGGGTTTGGGCGGTGCTTTCCCTCAGACAGGAAGGCCACCCTGTCCTGTGGATCCCCATCCCTCCCAGCCCACCCACCCCACGACACCGGACAAACCTCACCTCCGTTGGATAAACACAGGCTGTTGATCAAGATGCTTCCAGTTTTATTGTGCTCATACCTGGGCGACAGAAGAGAAGAAGGTGAAACACAATTAGACCTACAGGCTCCAAGAAGTGACCGACCAGCAGGTCAAATTTAAAGGATCGGATCATCTCTGCTCCCCTGCTGTCCCTGGCTTGATAAAAAGGAGCTCGGGAGGGAAGTTAAACATCCTAGCAGCTGGGATCTGATGGATGGGAGCCTCAGATCTGCCCACCATGGATGTGTCCTGAGACCTCTGAGCCTTCCTTACAGCTGTAGGTACAGGGAAAAGGGGGATCTGCACTACATCCTTTCACTTATCTGCTGGAAATCGCCTTGATGGGGACACAACAAAGAGCAGCCAGAGCATCAGTGGTTGCAGTGACCTGTGCAGCAGCTCCTGTGCGACTGTATCCCCGTAATCGTGGGACAGGAGATTAATCCTCTGGTGGTGGAGGCCGAGGTGACGCACCAGCCCCTCAACAATGCTGGCTTGCTCGAAGATGGAGTAGTGGTGGGGCCTCTGTGAAGCAAAGCGGGAGAGGAACCGCAGTGAAAGCCTGAGCCCACAGACTCCAGAATAAACCCCCAAATGGAGAAATATGGGGTGGAGAGCAGTAGTTTACAATCCCAGACAGAGCAGTTGTGATGTCCTGGGCAAGCAGTTGTGACCACAAGCCTGTGGAAACACTGCCCATGCCCCAGAGGGGCCAGGGTGTGCTTGGGAGTCACATCAAACCAAGTAAAGGTGAGATGGTGACAGAGCCAGTCTCCACCACGCACCTTCCCCATCCCCCCGCTACTATAATGTCTTATTCCTTTTCCAGATGTAAACGGGAGAAGAAACTGGACAGCAAATGCCAATTTTCTGGGGTTGCTGGCACAGCAGAACAACCTCTGGGCCAAAAGCAACTGCAAAAATCCTCTTCCCAGGCTACTTACAGGCTTGTCACTGAAACCGAATCCTACAAAATCCAGAGCAACCACCCGGTGAAACCGCTGGGTCAGCCCTTCCCAGATCTGGAAGAGAAATGCATTAAAAAAAAAAATAGCTAATGGGAACAGAGAGAGGAAAAGTCTGTGGCAATGCACAGCCACGGATGGCCATGCTCCCTGCCACTCCCCCAGACAGCACCTTCCAGCTCCGAGAAAACAACAGGAGGTTGAAATTTCCAATAAACAGCAAGACCATCCCCCCAAAAAGCCAAGAAATACTTGTGGGTCTTTTTCTCCTGCTTTGAGCTGGAATGTGGGAAAGGGCAATGTGAAAAAAGCTCAGCTCCTGTGCAAGGCATGGCGAGAGGAGCGGGGCTGCCATCCCAGAGCGCAGTGGTACCCCCAGCAGAAACTCCTCTGGAGCATTTCCCTCCCCAGGCTGAGCCCTGAGTCCATCTGCTCATCCTCGACAGGGAGAAACCGCGGGGTTTCCCGTTGGCATCCAACCTCCCCCCCCCGTGCACTCGCTCCTCTCACCTTGCACCAGTCGTAGCTGGAGGTTGGGAAGCCGTGTAGGAGGACGACGACGTCGGAGCTGCCAACAGCGCCGGTTGAATCTGAGGAGGTAATGAGGTGCCTCAGGGTCAGCTTTTTCCCCCCAAATATCCCCCCTTGTAAGACAGGTGTTGCCGTTCGAGCTCAACCAGCAGCACGGGGTTACCTCTCCCTTTGCTCCCCCAAAACCAGGTGTGGGTTTGACTTGCACAGAAGCTTTCCCAGTGCCAGCGTGGCTTCGGAAACCCAGCCGGATGAGCCACTGCAGCTTCTGGCACCAGCTATTTAATGCAAACTGAGGTTTTACTTGGCACAAATTAATTGCAGCTACACTTAAGTTGCTACGATGGGTGACAACCACTCCAGCAAATAGGTTTTTTGACATCTTTCCCTTGCTGTGACCCATCAGAGGATCCTTCCCCATGAACACCAAGGCATTGACAGTGGTGCACAAGGACCAACCTTCATGACTTCACTCAGTTAAAACGTTCTGATAACGAACAGCCACACTGCACCTGGATCTGTGCAGCGGCTCCCCTTAAAGCCATTATGTTTTGGGAGGGATTTGCCATCTCCCTGCCTGGCCTTGGGAACATCCCTGGGGCCGTCGAGGGGAGCAGAGCCCCCAGCCCCACTCCCCACCGAGAGGGACGAGGTGTCCCCAGGGCTCGGTGTGGCCCCGTCACCTCTGTAGAAGATGTTCTGGTCCTTGTAGGTGAAGTAGCCTCCGGAGGATCTCCAGGAGAGGAGAGCAGGGGAGAGCTTGGGGGGTGGGATGTGCAGGTAGACGGCGAGGAGGGGCACGCTCAGCAGCCCCACCTGCACCCACAGCTCCTTCATCCTGCGGGAGAGAGTGAGGCGCCTGCCTACCAGGATTTGTCCCATAACCCCCAGGTCCCGCTAACGCCCCTCCATGTCCCCATAACCCCCACATCCCCATAACCTGCACGTCCCCAGGCTGGCAGGTCCATGAAAGTGGTCTCTGCAGTAAAGGTTGGGGGGTCTGAGGGGGTACATGGGCTCCATAGGGGTTTTAAGGGGGGGGGTGTGACCCCACTGGGGGTCTGAGGGGGAACGTGGGGGCTCCATAAGAGGTCTCAGGGGAAACACGGGCCCCCCTGGGGGTCTGACAGGGGTCATGGTCCCATATGGGGTTTGAGAGGGAACACGGGCCCCACTGGGGATCTGGGGGGGGGCTGTGGGCCCGTAGGGTGTCTGAGGGGGGGGCAAGGGCCCCACTGGGGGTCTGGGGGGGTAAGATGTGGGCCCATGGGGGTTTGAAGGGGGTGTGTGACCCCACTGGGGGTCTGAGGGGGAACGTGGGGGCTCCATAAGAGGTCTCAGGGGAAACACGGGCCCCCCTGGGGGTCTGACAGGGGTCATGGTCCCATATGGGGTTTGAGAGGGAACACGGGCCCCACTGGGGATCTGGGGGGGGGCTGTGGGCCCGTAGGGTGTCTGAGGGGGGGGCAAGGGCCCCACTGGGGGTCTGGGGGGGTAAGATGTGGGCCCATGGGGGTTTGAAGGGGGTGTGTGACCCCACTGGGGGTCTGAGGGGGAACGTGGGGGCTCCATAAGAGGTCTCAGGGGAAACACGGGCCCCCCTGGGGGTCTGACAGGGGTCATGGTCCCATATGGGGTTTGAGAGGGAACACGGGCCCCACTGGGGATCTGGGGGGGGGCTGTGGGCCCGTAGGGTGTCTGAGGGGGGGGCAAGGGCCCCACTGGGGGTCTGGGGGGGTAAGATGTGGGCCCATGGGGGTTTGAAGGGGGTGTGTGACCCCACTGGGGGTCTGAGGGGGAACGTGGGGGCTCCATAAGAGGTCTCAGGGGAAACACGGGCCCCCCTGGGGGTCTGACAGGGGTCATGGTCCCATATGGGGTTTGAGAGGGAACACGGGCCCCACTGGGGATCTGGGGGGGGGCTGTGGGCCCGTAGGGTGTCTGAGGGGGGGGCAAGGGCCCCACTGGGGGTCTGGGGGGGTAAGATGTGGGCCCATGGGGGTTTGAAGGGGGTGTGTGACCCCACTGGGGGTCTGAGGGGGAACGTGGGGGCTCCATAAGAGGTCTCAGGGGAAACACGGGCCCCCCTGGGGGTCTGACAGGGGTCATGGTCCCATATGGGGTTTGAGAGGGAACACGGGCCCCACTGGGGATCTGGGGGGGGGCTGTGGGCCCGTAGGGTGTCTGAGGGGGGGGCAAGGGCCCCACTGGGGGTCTGGGGGGGTAAGATGTGGGC